CCCATATTTTGTTCTCTCTCCGCCCCTCGTTTTCCTGTTCCCCCTCTATTCTTATTCTCTCCCCCCATTTTCCTTTTCTCCCGATCCTTCATCCCCCCATATTTTGCTCTCTCCCCCGCTTTTCTTTCTTTTCTCTCCTTCACGATTTTTCTTATCCCTTCATCTTTCTTGCCCGTTTGTTTTATTTTTATTTTTTTCAAGGGAGGCATTTACATGCAAGACACTGCTACTGTTAGTTCTAATCGTAAGCATCATTTTCTGGATTTTAAAAGGAAAGCTCATTTAATGTCAAGAAAAATAATAATGTTACTACACGTAGCTCACGGAAGGTTGAGGGGACCTTTAGTCGAGGTAAGGGGGGCTCAGTTGTGGTAGGGGGGGAGCTCAGTCGCGTTAGGATCGAACTTGCTTACAGAAAGGGAGCAGCCTAGTCAAATTTATGTTAGATGAAGACCATGGAAATAGCTTCTGATAAAATTTAAGGAGGGTGTCGTCGGTAAGGATTGGAAAGGGATAGCCTAAAGTTGGGGGGGGGGAGGTTTTATTCAAAATGAAAAGAGAAACTTCCGGCATCGTTAATGGGAGATTTTAATGAACCTTTGAGGGAACCCTTTTAATTCCACGAATGAAATAATTTTTCACTTATTTATTTTTTGTAATGGAAATAAAATTGCTCAATGTATCTGTATGGAGAAGGCATCCATAAATATTCATCCTTATCTAAGTTTTTTTTTTTTTAAAAAAAAATTATATATATTTACACCGAAAACTACGCAAATTTCTGCAGTGGAATCGGAGACAAAACTGCTGACTATAGCCTCAAATTGCTTCTAGAGAGCATCAAATTTTCAAAATTTTTCGGGGGAGGCCCCCCGGACCCCCCGTTGGGGGAGGGGCCGCCCCCTGGAAATTCGCGGCTGTTTAAGGGGGGGGTGAAAAGTAATGAAATAGGGGGGGAACTCGTCAAGTACCTAGGGGGGGAATGACACCACTGGTCATGACTATTCGCTCCAGGGCCGGATTAAGGGGGTGGCCACATGGGCCGCGGCCCACGGCGGCAAATTTTGCGATTTTTTTAAATGAAGGTATAAAGCAAGTCGGATTCAGAAAAAAATACAAACGAGAGAAGGCGACAAAATCTCTCATTTCCTGAGAGCACAGTTATTTCGCATTGCGTCAAACACAGTGCGTTCAGCACCGCTCGACGTGAGACGCAAAGCGCCTACAAGACTGTAGGAATACTACACGCATTGCGTCAAAAACAGTGCGGTCAACGCGGCGCAGCGGCGGAAGTTATAATTATTAAACCACATTTATGTTTGTTCTTTCATAATTTTTTCGTTCATTTCTTATAAATGGAGGGCCTTGTCCACACAGAGATAGGTTTACGGAACTTAACTTTCGCGAGAAGTTCCGTGAAATTTTGCTGGTAGTGTTGACATAGGGCTTTCGCAAAAAATGTGTCCAACACGATTAAACGCGTCTTATGCACCCCTTCCCCTCCGGCACGTTCACTTGATGGTTTTTATTGATGTTTCAAAACGAATGAGAAGAGGGCGGCAAATACAGGCGGCCCATGGTCGGCAAGTAGGTGAATCCGGCCCTGATTCGCTCTTTAGCCAAAGTCAGAGCATCGACTGGTTCAAATCAGAAATGAAAAGTGAAACGCATTTTGAGAATCTCGTCCCTAGATCACACACTCGTAGAATCTTTTTAACGCATGGCATTTAAGATGCGCAAATTGCGACTGAAAGCAGCGTGGCGAGCCGTTAAAGGAACTAAACTCGATCGGATTTCCTCTGAAGCTCGTCGCATTGGTCATCGATTTGCGCCGCGGACTTACGCGCCAAGTTCCGTAATTACCTAAGACATTTTGGCATACTTGTCCTGCCCCCTCCCTTTCTGTAAGACAACCTCTGACCCTTCTTTTAAGTAACGTAAGACTGCTCCTGGTGAGGGAGGGGGGGGGGGGGTGAGCACGGGTGCGTTATAGTGAAGAAGGGGAGTCCCATGCTGCGTTCCGTAACGCTGAAGTCGGTAGCATTGTCGTGTCTCATGTAAAATGTCTGTTACGTTTGCAACACAATTTTACGTAGCATATTTGCAGCGTAATATTAGGCATAACGCAATGCCGCTTTGTGTAAGAACTTAGCTCTCTGTTTTACGTTGACTCGCTGAGTCCAGCATTCTCTAGCTATGGCAACGGGAATACCAAAAATTAAGATTTGAGGTTACGTCGACTTAACCCCAACTTCGCGGAATCGTAACTCAAAATATCGTTTGTAGTATCAAGCGTTCGACCATGTGAACCAAATTTTGTATGCTTCGTTCCATTTCTGATTTAACCCATGGCCAACGATGGGGGTTTCGTATTTTTCGGAGGTTATGTGTTCCGAATCCGTTAACGTCATGCTCGCTTTGAGTTATGGAGTGAGGTTAGGTGGTGCCTCTGCGGTGTGAAACGAAGTTCGAAATGCGGAAAAATAAAAAGGCGGAATCGCTGGAGGACCTGATGGACACCATCGAGCACACGCTGGACAAAGCGCGTGGAGACTTTCCAGCCGCGGATAAACGGAGACCCGCCCCCGCAGCATCCCTTCCAACGAGAACGGGACTCTCCGATCATCCCCCAAAGTACGTCGATGACCCTTTTTTAAAAATAAATTTCAGAATTTATCTCTGTATGCAGGGTGTCCACAAGTCCGGAATTTCTGGAAAGTCCAGAAATAGTACTGATTTTTTAAGGGCGGTTCGAAAGTCCCGAAAAAGTGTGGAAATTCCGAAAGATGGTCCGGAATTGTTTTCCCATTACTGTTGCAATTTGAGCGAGAATTTCAAATTTCGATTACCGGTGTCCAAAAATCAATGATGTTTTCATGATTAATTTTTCCCAAAAAGTCGATGCAGTTCTTGATTATGTATGCCAAAAAGTCAATTCGGTTTTCATGATAATTCGTGCCAAAAAATCGATGCGAATTTTTCGATTATTTGCGCCAATAAGTAAGTGTCTTCTAGTAATCGATTCAAAACCTTCCTTAGTCGCCCGATTAGCCGTCTCGCTACCGGCGCACGTGGGTTACGAACATTGCCTCACTCCAGTGGCGTGACGTGCTTTGCGATTTAAACCTATGAAATAGAATCGATGAACAGGGTGTTCGCTTAATAATCGATTTCTTACTATAGCTACATATGGAAAGATATCGATAATCGATCATTTACGCCACACCACCGCCTCACTCCTCGACGTTCGGGCGTATTTCGATAACCACGTGAGCCCTATCCTCCGAAAAGCTCTGTACTCTTAAGGGCTCTTGAGGAAATGAAGATACGCCCTTACTGCCGTGCCAAGGAAGAACGCCGTATGAACATTCGAGAGTTGCCAAATTTTCTCGGATAAAACATGTATTTTTGACAAAATTTATGTATATTTCCCCTCAAAATTTTCAGATATTTTGGATACGATTGCGAACAAAATAGTCTGAAAAATTCGGTGAAAAACATTTACAATTTTCCCAAGAAATTCGTATTTTATCAGAGGAAATTTGGCAACGTCTGGAGGTTCATACGGCGTTTTTCCTTAGCACGGCAGCTTACGTCGGAAGAGCGAGGCGGGGGGGGGAGGGGGGGCGCGCGTCGCGTGGAGTCGTTTAGCTCCGCGCGTGTTGCATCAAACGATGTTTTAATGATTAATGAGCGGTGGCAAATGAGTGGACCGCGGGAGAGGCGGGGTAATTGAATGGGAGCTTCACCGCGCTTCGGACCGTCAACTAGTTAATGGATAATCATCGATAAATGACCATCGGCACGGCTTGAATTGATTCCCAGGCGATCGACACCCGGAAGAGTGATCTTATGCGACGAGATTAATCCATGCATGATGCTCGGAAGCTCATACTTCTGATTTTAGAGCAAGCATGGTGTCTAGGACCGGGATAAGATACATAAGGTATTTATTCGAAATGTAAAACGTAAAAGGAAAAACAACATTATTCTGCCCGGCAAATTGGGATACCCAATTATTCCGAATCAGACGTAAAAATAAATACAAATGATAATACTACAAAAAAAGTAATAAAATAAATTCGGTGACATAAATTAAAACAAGATTAAGACACAAATATGGTGAACAGTAATTAAGTATAAAAAATGGAAAAAAAATAGATGAATAAATAAATAGATAGATAAACATTGCAATGGAATAGATAAATATAAAAAATCGGTACACGGACTTCATGTCCACTTTTTTACGTCCGCAGTTCTAAAGCCCACACTATTGTTAAGTCCATTACTTAAACGTCCACTAAGTTAAGTCCACAAATGTAAAGTCCACAAAAATCAAATTCGAGCGTTATATTTTAGTCCGTGTGTAAAATTATATTGACAATATCGCAATGAGAAAATTAAGAGAGAATGAGGTGTTGTTATCGTAACTCATATTTTAAATGAAATGTTAATTTCTTCTTTTGATTCATCTTGTCAAATTGACTATGGTAAATACTTGGTTTCATTTCTATCCTTGAAATTTCCTATATAAAATATGCCTTTAATGTACATTCTTTTTTTTTAATGACTTCATTTTAAAAACATTTACATTTTTCAAACGTGGCAAATATTTGTAAAACCTTTTCCAAGCAATGGCATC